TACATATACCCTCCCAGTCTGACAGCAAACCACTGATAATTACTCTTTGAGTATGGACTATTATTTTCCAGGTACTTATGTTCCAGGAGCTTTCCAGATATTAAAGTTAGGCTGACTAGTTTTTAATTCCCCAGATCCTCTTTGTTCCTATTTTTGAAGATAAGTAATGTTTCCCCTTCTCCAGTCTTCTGGAACCTTACCCATCCTCTAGGAGTTCTCAGCGATGGCTACTCTCAACCTCCTTTGCTCCCTGCTGGAATATCTAGGCATAGGCCTTAATAATAGTCCTGATCACTGACACAAGGCCCATTGAAGTCAATGGAAATACTCCACTGATTTCAATGGGCTTTGGATCAGGCCCTCAGCAGCCAGTTGTTTTTACTGTGTTTTTACTCTTAGGAAATACAAACTCAGAACTGGAGAAGGCTCTTCCCTGCTCCTCCCAGGACCAAATGATGCCGGTTCTTCCTAAGTGAGCTATGTGTGTGTTGCTGAACCACAGGATATGAGAATTTGGAACAATATGTGCTAGCCTGTAGACCATGATTTAAGACCAAGTGTGTTACAAAGATTCTGAGGAGCATAATGACAGATAGATAATGTCACTGGTCAATATTTGGACACAAATCCTTTCCCCTTTATTATACTGTTTTCTTCTTTAAAATGGGGATTAAAGTTAGCAATATTTCTGTTACATAAAAGCCGTAGGGTTTTATAATTTTCTGAAGGTCAGCTATAATCCATACTGAATGTTTTTAGGTTCTGTTTGGTTTATTGTATTTGGCAAAAATGTAACTTGCAAGATGGAGTAAGATTTATTTTACCATTAACAAAAACATGTTGTATTGAGAAGAAATGTTCTCTAATAGAGTGCGGGGACTGGGAGTCAAGTCTTCTGGGTTTTGAAAGGCAGTGTGGCCTAGTGGATAGATCATTGGACCTGAGTGCTATTCCTGGCTTGGATACTGGACTGCTAGGTGACTTTGGGCAAGTAACTTCATTGCTCTGTGACTCAGTTTCCCCTCTAAAATGGGGTTAATGATACTTTCCTCCTTTATAAAGCACTTTGAGATCGCCTGATTAAAAGTACTGTATAAAAAACAGGTATTATTATTATTTTATTATTTTATTTATTGTTCACAGCTCTGCCAGTAGACAAGTCAATGAATCTCTATGCAGCTCAATCTACCTGTCTGAAAAAGGAGTATATAATTTAGAGGACCTAATTCCTAATGGTGTCATGAGAGTTAATTACTGCGTGTAAAAGCATTTTAAGATCTCTGAATTAAAAGCTTTATACGACTATTACTTATTCAGATATCTACATTTTTGATTTCTTATGGCCTCTGCCCCTGAGAAATTGAAGTGTGAATAGTAGGGTGTGTGACAGAATGGGTATATGTCTGTGTCAAATTATGAACTCCATTTTGTTTTGTGACTGCCAGATTTGATTGTTGTATTGCAGAGTTGTAGTAGCCATGTTGGTGCCAGGATGTTACAGAGACTGGTGACCTGAAGAAGAGCTCTGTATAAGCACGAAAGCTTGAAACAGAATTTGGTCCAGTAAAAGATATTATGTCACCGACTTTGTAAATTTTAACATTTCTCTAAATTTGATTGTAACCTTCATTGTGACTGCCACTTTGTATTGTAATCTTTTAGGTTGGGGTGTGACCCCCATGCTGTATTGCATTCTCCATTGTGAATTAGAGTAACCATTTTGTGTTACAGAGTAGCAGCCGTGTTAGTCTGTATTCCACTGAATGCATCCGATGAAGTGAGCTTTAGCTCACGAAAGCTTATGCTCAAATAAATTTGTTAGTCTCTAAGGTGCCACAAGTACTCCTTTTCATTTTGTGTTAGGGGCTTGACACCTAGTGGAATGACTATGTGCTGGTCTACACTAGAAAGGTAGGTTCCCCCTGCTCTCAGCTCACACCCCTGAGAGATGTAGTTAAGCTGACCTAAGCGCTAGTGTAGACAGTGCAAGGTCAACGGAAGAATACTTCCATTGATCTAACTGCCTCCTCTCAGAGAGGTGGATTTACTACAGTGATGGAAGAACCCTTTCTGTCACTGTAATAAGTGAAGCCCTACAACAGTGTAGCTACAGTGGTGCTGCTGTGCCTCTCTAGTATTTCTAGTGTAGACATACCCTATGCCTGAGAAACTAAAACAAAGCAATCTGCCATCAACTCTGATTGTCTGTCAATGACCAGCCAGCCAACCCCTGGAACAATGAACTCTGCACAGCAGCCTGCCTGGGGGGAGGGGGAAAAGATGAAATTTCCTAGCTAGAGCACATAGCTGGGAGCTCTCCAGTTTCTCCTGCTTGGCACGTGACCAAACAGGTCAGGAACTGTTTTAAAAGGTGGGGTGCTTCTCTAAGTGAGGGGCCAATCCATCAGCACGAAGAAGAAGAAAGGGATGGCGAAGGAGAAGGCAAGAAGGGTTATGTAGCCTGTGAATGCTGACCAAATCCAGGACTCACAGAAGGGGTAAGATCAGATTCAGGGGAAGTGCATTCAGGACCGTTTGTTGTTTTCCAAAGATCTGTAACTCCCAAGTGCTTTTAAAGTGCCTGTGGTTAATAAATTCTTTTGTTAAGCCTGTATTCCTTGCTAGTCTACCACATTGTCCCTGACAAGGTTAATCGAGAAGCTCAGTGCTCACAAGGAGATGGGACTCTGAGGGAACGTGTATAAGCAACTGGGGGCTCAGGAAGGCAGAGGCACTGGTTCTGGGATTTAAGGTGGCTGGGCTGCAGAGCCCCACATCCCAAGGAAGGAATGCAGACATAATCTGGGAATGTGGCTGAGCCCTGGACTACACTATGAGTTTAGGTCGAATTTAGCAGCGTTAGGTCGATTTAACCCTGCACCCGTCCAAGCCTATTTTGTCGACTATGCAGATGAGCTCTGCATGGTCACCTGTGCAGTCCCAGAATCGCAAAAGAGCTCCAGCATGGACCGAATGGGAGGTACTGGATCTGATCGCTGTATGGGGAGAAGAATCCGTGCAGGCAGAACTCTGTTCCAAACGACGAAATGCCAATATATATGCCAAAATCACACAGGGCATGATGGAGAGAGGCTACAAGGAAAATTAAGGAGCTCAGGCAAGCCTATCAAAAAACAAAGGATGCAAACGGTTGCTCCGGGTCAGAGCCCCATACATGCCGCTTCTATGATGAGCTGCATGCAATTCTGGGGGGACCGGGGGGGGGCCTACCACTACGCCACCACTGTCTGTGGACACCTGCAAGGGGGGAGTCTCACGCAACAAGGATGAGGATTTTGTGGATGAGGAAGATGAGGAGGAGGAGGAGGTTGAGGATAGCGCACAGCAGGCAAGTGGAGAATCCCTTCTCCCCAGCAGCCAGGAACTGTTCTTTACCCTGGAACCAATACCTTCCCAACCCTCCCAAGGCGGGCTCCCGGACCAGGAAGCCAGAGAAGGCACCTCTGGTGAGTGTACCTTTGTAAATATAATACAGGGTTTAAAAGCAAGCGTGTTTAATGAGTAATTTGTCCTGAAGACTTGGGATGCATTCGCGGCCAGTATAGCTACTGGAAAAGTCTGTTAACATCTCTGGGGATGGAGCGGAAATTCTCCAGGGACATCTCCATGAAGCTCTCCTGGAGGTACTCTAAAAGCCTTTGCAGAAGGTTTCTGGGGAGGGCAGCCTTATTCCATCCCCCATGGTAGGACATTCTACCATCCAAGGGAACATTCAGAAGTGCCCGTTCCTGCTGGGCTGTTTGCCTTTGGCTGAAAAGAAATCATCCCCGCTGTTAGCCGTGCGGTGAGGGGAGGCCCATTCATGCTGAGTTATTCGCGTTTTCCTGACAGGGATCTTCCCTGATACTAGCCACGCGGTGGTTGGGTGGGGTGGGGCGGGGTGTGTGAAGTGAAGTGATTATCCCGGAGAATTGAGGAGGGGGGGTTGGGTTGTGCTGCACATTCACCCTAAAACTGCAGCCCCTCCTTTTAAATGGCCAACCGATTGGGCTTTTCTTGGTATGGGAAAGGAGGGCACTGCTGTTTGAAACCATTCCCACACGTTATGAAGGCTGAAGAAGCTGAAACCCTTTGCCTTACCATGGCTGCCTGCAAGCCGAATTCTGTTGCCCAGCCGAGCGTGTGTGATGTCTCACACCAAACCGGCAGGCACTCAATGTAAGAGGCAAAATGCAACCTTGTAAAAGCATAAGTGTTATGTAATGTGAATCGCTTGATTTAGTGTGAAATAGTCTTCCCTTTGTTCTCTAAAATGTATCTTTTTAAATACTACTCTCCCTTTTTTCCTCCCACAGCTGCAAATGTTTCTATGCTCCCCCTATCATCTCCGTCCCAGAAGCTAACACAGATTAAGAAGGCGAAAAAAATGCACTCGCGATTGACATGTTTTCAGAGCTCATGCAGTTCTCCCGCACTGAAAGAGCTCAGCAGAATGCGTGGAGGCAAACAATGGCAGAGTCCAGGAAAGAGTTAAATGATGAGAGGAGGGAGGAGTACGATGAGATGAGATGGAGATGAGAGGAGGGAGGAGATGAATGATGATGAGAGGAGGGAGGAGTACGATGAGAGGAGGCAGGATGCAATGCTGAGACTAATGGGGGAGCAAACTGCCATGCTCAGGCGTCTGGTGGAACTGCAGGAAAGGCAGCAGGAGCATAGACCACCACTGCAGCCCCTGTATAACTATCTACCCTCCTCCCCAAGTTCCATATCCTCCTCACCCAGACGCCCAAGAATGCAGGAGGGGGAAGGCTACGGGCACCCAGCCACTCCACCGCAGAGGATTGCCCAAGCAACAGAAGGCTGGCATTCAATAAGTTTTGAACTGTAGTGTGGCCTTGTCCTTCCATCCTCCCTTTATCCACCACCCCACCCGGTGCTTCCCTCCTCCCCACCGCTCCCGGGCTACTTTGCGAGTTTTCCCCCTATTTGTGTGATGAATTAATAAAGAATGCATGATTTTGAAACAATAATGGCTTTATTGCCTCTGAAAGCGGTGATCGAAGTGGGGAGGTTGATTAGCTTACAAGGAAGTAGAGTCAACCAAGGTGGTGGGTTTTCATCAAGGAGAAACTAACACAACTTTCACACCTTAGCCTGGCCAGTCATGAATTTAGTTTTCAAAGCTTCTCTGATGTAAAGGGCACCCAGCTGTGCTCTTCTAATCGCCCTGGTATCTGGCTGTGCATAATCGGTTGCCAGGCAATTTGCCTCAACCGCCCACCCCGCCATAAACATCTCCCCCTTACTCTCACAGATATTGTGGAGCACACAGCAAGCAGCAATAACAATGGGAACATTGGTTTCGCTGAGGTTTAACATAGTAAACTGCACCAGCGAGCTTTTAAATATCCAAATACACATTCTACCACCATTCTGCACTTGCTCAGCCTATAGTTGAACTGCTCCTTACTATTGTCCAGGGTGCCTGTTTATGGCTTCATGAGTCATGGCATTAAGGGGTAGGTTGGGTCTCCAACGATAACTATAGGCATTTCAACATCCCCAACAGTAATTTTCCGGTCTGGGAAGTAAGTTCCTTCCTGCAGCTGTTCAAACAGACCAGAGTTCCTGAAGATGCGAGCATCATGCACCTTTTCCGGCCATCCCACATTGATGTTGGTGAAACGTTCCTTGTGATCCACCAGTGCTTGCAGCACCATTGAAAAGTACAGTTGCAGTTTACGTACTGGCTGCCAAGGTGGTCCGGTCCCAAGATAGGGATATGCATTTCGTCTATTGCCCTACCATAGTTAGGGAATCCCATTGCAGCAAAGCCATCCACTATGACCTGTACATTTCTCAGAGTCACTACCCTTGATAGCAGCAGCTCAGTGATAGCATTGGCTACTTGGATCACAGCAGCCCCCACAATAGATTTACCCACTCCAAATTGATTCCCGACTGACTGGTAGCTGTCTGGCGTTGCAAGTTTCCAGAGGGCTATCCCCACTTGCTTCTCAGCTGTGAGGGCTGCTTTCATCTTGGTATTCTTGCGCTTCAGGGCAGGGGAAAGCAAGTCACAATGTTCCATGAAAGTGCCCTTACGCATGTGAAAGTTTCGCAGCCACTGTGAATCATCCCAGACCTGCAACACTCTGTGGTCCCACCAGTCTGTCTTTGTTTCCCGGGCCCAGGATCGGTGTTCCACGGCAGGAACCTGCCCCGTTACCACCATGATGTCCAAATTGCCAGTGCCCGTGCTTTGAGAGAAGTCTGTGTCCATGTCCTCATTACTATCGTGATTGCGCTGTCGTCGCCTCCTCACTTGCTTTTGCAGGTTCTGCACATACTGCAGGATAATGCGTGAAGTGTTTACAATGCTCACAACAGCAGCGGTGAGCTGAGCGGGCTCCATCCTTGCTGTGGTATGGCGTCTGCAGGAAAGCAGAGTTGCAGCAGAAGTGGTGATTGCCACGAGAATAGATATTTATACAGAACAACAAGAGGACCTGCAAGGTGGATTCATGGCACCAGGAGAGCAGAGTTGCAGCGGAAGCGGTGGATGATGACAACATGGAGAAATTTGCTCTTAAGACTGAGCTCATTTACAAGAGCAGGAGAGCAGAGTTGCAGTGGAAGCAGTGGATGATGACAACATGGAGAAATTTGCTATTGGGAATGAGTTCATTTACAAGAGCAGGAGAGCAGAGTTGCAGTGGATGACGACTGCACCGTCTGCTGACAGGAGCACCCAGGACACAACAGCAGCGGTGACAGTGAGCTGAGCTGAGCGGGCTCCATGCTTGCCGTGGTATATCGTCTGCACGGAAAAAAGGCGCGAAACGATTGGCTGCTGTTGCTTTCACGGAGGGAGGGGCGACTGACGACATGTACCCAAAACCACCCGCCACAATGTTTTTGTCCCATCAAGCATTGGGAGCTTAACCCAGAACTCCAATGGTTGGCGGAGACTGTGGGAACTGAGGGATAGCTACCCACACTGCACCGCTCTGTAAGTCGATGCTATCCGCGGTAGTGAGGACGCACTCCGCCAACTTAATGCGCTTAGTGGGGACATATGCAATCAACTGTATAAAATTGATTTCTAAAAATCGACTTCTATAAAATTGACCTAATTTCGTAGTGTAGACATACCCTTAGAGACCCAGAGCTATGAATAGTGACATAGTTCTGCCAGGATCCATTTGGCTTAGATTGAAGCCACTGGGATCCAATAGCTGGGTTCACTCACAACAAACTGGCATGCTTTCAGAGGGAGATTTGGCTAGGTTGTGACAAGGTGTATCTGCAGTAAGGGAGGAAACCATTGTAGGGACATTGATGGCATGAACTGTTTTGTTGAATTGCTTGTCCTTGAAATGGTTTCATTCATCTGCACACCAATGCTTTTAGTCCTGTCTGCATTTGGAAACAGATCTGGTGCTGAAACAACAGGTCCCGCTGAACTGCTACTATTCTGAGGACAAAACTACTTTCAGCACCATTGCATAGTGTTCTTGAGACTTGGTAGGGATGGAATTTTATTAGAACTGGACCTAAACTGGATCTGAAACAAAACATTGTGGTTTAGGGCCATCTCTACTCCCTACTTATAATAATGAAAATAATTCGTACCTCTACTGTGCTTTCTATCTAAAGATTTCAAACCTCTTTAAAGAAAAGAATTAAAGTTTGCAACACTCTTAAGCATTATTATGCCCATTTGCAAACCTGGAAATGTAGACACAAAGAAATTAACTAATTCACTGCAAGGCACATAGGAAGCTACTAGCAGAGCCAGGAAGAGATGTCACGCCTGATGACTCTCACTTTTGTGCTTTAGCTGCAAGACTGTCCTTCCCTAAATGTCATAGAGGAACCAGTGAAACAGGAACTGCAAGCTCTGCTTAGCTGAGCCTGTAACAGGCCAAATTCATCCTTCATGCACAATTCCAGTGTAGTCAATGGAGTCATGCATCATCTGCCAGAGATTAATTTGGTCTAAGTAAACAGAGCTTAAAATTCCTACATCCTAAATTTGTCCCGTGGGTTCACAGGGGATGACCAATACCTTTTCCCACCAATAATGAAACTTTCTGGGTGACCATATTTGTTTCTCTATTTCCAGTTAAACTAATTGAAAACCTTGTATGACTCCTTTTAAACAACTTGAGATTCCCTTCAATAATGCAAACAGTGCTTTTGCTCAGATGATTCACACAGGCTGTGAGGAAAGGTGTTGACTGCATCAGTCACAACGCTTCCAGTGCCAACTCATCCATGGAACAGCACCAGAATTAGGTTTGGGAATGTTAAGCACCTCCACCCTAGCCTAAGGAAAAGTATCACAAGTACAACTAAGAAGACAGGACAGAGAATTAGGGAAGAAAAGTTGAAATTATTATAGGGGCCACCTTAAATCTCTGACTACAAGCTGGGAGTGTAAGACAGGAGTGGATCACTCCATAATTGCTCTGTTCTGTACATACCCCCTGAAACTCTGGTATGGTGCACTGTCAGAGGGATACTGGGCAAGACGGACCATGGTCTGACCCAGTATCGCAGCTCTTTTGTTCTTATACTGTATAACCCCAAAGTTCCAGACACTTATTATATAGACTTATATGGTCCTTCAGGTTTCAGAAGTCCCTCCGGTTCTCTAAGCAAAACCTAACTGATCCCCCTAGAATGCCAGTAGACTGCAATTATAATGATTTAAGGGCAGTCAGATACGTTTTCTAAAAGATTTGAAGACAAATGATTGTCTCTCTTCTATATTACTCCTCCGGTCTTTGAGGTATGGGACAGTATTTTTTTAAATATGTATCTGTAGAGCAATCAGAACAGTGAAAGCCACAATCCTGATTGAAACCTCTGAGTGCTTCTGTAAAATAAATAACAGTAATTAATTTTCTTCTCTTCTTTATTGCCCAGACTCAGCAGGAGATAAAACTAAAAGTACAAATATCAGTGAATGTTACCAATCATGGCACCTCTTAGATGTTTTAATTTTGCAGTGTATCTAAGGCAGCAAAACCAAGGGCATAGAAAATTTTGTTGAAGTCTTAGCACAAAACTAAAGATAAAAGAGAAGTTTGTTATTGGGAGCGCAAAGACATAATAGTTTATACAAAGTCTGTTGTCACTGTTGACATTTTTTACATTGCTGGAACAATAGCTAGTGCTCCTAAGGCAATAATGTGACATTTTGAATATCTAGTGGAGTGAAAGATCCTTTCACTAGCAAAGGTTGATGCTCTGAGCCTGAGTTCCAACCATTTTAATTTGGTAGGCGGTATGACGCATAGAATTATAAAAATATAAACAAAGGATAAGATTGACAACCAATTTGAAAGAGATCACAATTGTCAATATAAGAACTGGATTTTTTTACATTTATGTAAATCATATGTTCTAATAAACACACCATACCATACTGATATAACACAAAGTAGATTCATATCTAGAGGAAAGGTAAGTCAGAAGCTATCTGTCTTTTTAACAGTGACGGTAGAATCATAGAACTGGAAGGGACCTCAAGAGGTCATCTAGTCCAGTCCCCTGCACTCAAGGCAGGACTAAGTATTATCTAGAGACCATTCAGTTCCAGTGGTAATTAACCACTGGAACAATTTACCAAGGGTTGTAGTGGATTTGCGATCACTGGAAATTTTAAATCAAGATTTGATGCTTTTCTAAAAGATATGCTGTAGTTCAAAGAGAAATTATCTCAGGAAAGTCCCTTGCTCTGTGTTATACAGGTCAGACTAAATAATCACAGTGGTCTCTTCTGGCCTTATAAACTATTAATCTCCAAAATCAACTTTGCACTGTCATTTTATTGACTCATGTTTGTAAATTTTAAAGCCATGTGGCAGCTTTCTCATTCATACAACAAACCTATTGCTAGGGAATCACACTGCAATATAGGCTTGAGATGCTGGAATTTTCAGGATGTTGGTGATGACCAAAGAAAAGGAGTAGTTAGGGAAAGCTCTTGGGTATAATATTTAACCAGTGATTCATTTGTGAAGTACCTAGAAGAAGGGGGATGAGAAGTCATATAAAACGGTCTTTGCATCTGAAGATTGAGGTAGATAGTATATTATAATATATGTATGAGAATATGCAAAATACCAAAAAACATAAATAAGGAGACAAATATATTTGGGAATCTAATGACCCATAGCTCTAAATAATGTTCTTTTTCCTACAATATTACCGGAGCAGTGATCGATCATTCAGTTGATGAGGTAAGATAAGAACCACTGTTGCCAACTCCCATGATTTTATGGTGACTCTAGTGATGTTTGGTGGAATTTATTAAGCATCCCATTACTGGCATTAAACTTAAGAATTTTCACTTATTCACAATGCCCACCACCACCTTGCTATTACTGCTAATAGCACTGAAGCCAGGTTGCCTGTAGTCAAGATAGCCACCATTTCCCGAGACTATTTGCATGTGGAGGTGAATCTGCCCCTAGTACAGGACAGAGGAAATATGGTCCATGGGATAGAGCTAACCTGGGACTCAGGGTCAAGTCCCTGCTCCACTGCATACTTCCTGTATGACCTTGGGTAAGTAACTTAGGCCTAGTTCCTCAAAGGTAGTTAAGCCCTTAAATCCCATTGCAATCAGTTGTATCTCTGTGCCTCGGTTCCCCATTTGTAAAATGGGGATAACAGCACTTCCCTACCTCCCAGCGGTATTGTAAGGATAAATTCATTAAAGATTGTGAGGTGCTCAAATACTGCACTGATGGGGGCTATACCACTAACTCCTGTTTCTAATGAGACTGGAGCCAGGATGCCTTCAGGTAAGTGGGTGCTCCTTGAAGGTTAAGAGGCTGCTCAAAATTCCACAAGGAGGCAGGGAAATGGGGAGCAGGAAGGAGTCTGAGGAAGGAAACTGAGAGGTGCTGGAGAACTGATGTGCAGAGAATACAGGGGAAGATTGCCATACAGATGCAAAAACACAGGCCATCCAGAATGATCTTGAGTCCATAAAACTGGACAGCTGGCAGCATGTGCTGAGCACCCTTCCAGACTTCCTAGGACAGCCTGGACAGGTGGTGCCCCCAAAGTGAGGTGTTGGAGGAGACAGAGTCCTGTGCAGGCGAATCAGTGCAGGGAGAGATGCTGAGGCCGGGGGTGCAGAGGAACAGGGGTTCAGTGGAGAGACTTAGGGGTCAGGGGAAGGAGAGGCAGAAGGCTCTGTTTGGGAAAGTGCCCATTGAAGGAGAGGAGAATGTGGGGAGCAGAAGGGAACAGGGAGAGGTGCAGCAGAAGGAAAACATGAGGGGTAGGGGACTGTAAATGAGACAAACTGTGGGGCAAGGGGGGGAGCGGGGTCTCCAGGGGGCGGTGAGGGAAAAGGGAGGTAACGGGGGTCAGAAGTAGAATGGCAGCTCCCCGCAGCCCAGGGACTGGGGGACGGGGTCCCTGCCGGCCACGGCCATGTGTTTCGGGTCGAATCGCGGCTACCGCACGTCTTGGGCAGGAAACAACCACCACAGGGGCCGCCAAGGGACTGGCTTTCCTCGCGCACCGTGCGAGCCTCAAGCCTCGTTCAGGATTTTGGCGGGAGGCGGGCGCTGACTCCCCTGTTCTGCCGCATCACCTCACAAGGGCGGGCGGGCGTTCCCTGCCTCCCCGCGTGACGCGAGAACAACACGGCCGGGCGGGGACCGAGCACTGCGTCTGGGCTGCCTCCGGGATGGGGGAGGGGAGCCGCAACTTCCTAGCTTGTGAGTCACAATAGAGGAAGGGCAGGGCGGCGTTGCGGGAACCCAGGGGAACCTCCGCGCACTGCAGCACCCTCGGAGTCGCCAATCTCCCCGGGACCTTAGAGCGGCGGCGGCGGCATAGCCACCCCCAGCCAACCGCCCCTTCTCCTTCACAGCGCAGTAGGGCAAAAAAATAGTCGAGACTGGCCTGACCTGGTAGGCGGGCACCTCCCCCTTTTCGACGGCGCTGATTGGTCCTCCCATCCCCAGCGGTGATTGGCTGCACGGGGGGCAGCGGCGGGTGCCCATTGGTTGTGCGAACGGGATAATGAGCCGTGCGCAGAGTGATAGGGAAGGGCGGGGTGAGAGTGAGTAAGCGCGTGTGTGGGGCCGTGTGCAAACCGCGTGTGGCGCAGGCAGCGGGGCTCTAGTATCAAGCGGGGGAGATCGAAAGAGAACCGGGCCCATCGTCGCCCGGACGTGCTACCTATCGCAGGAGGGTCGGGAGCCTGCAGGTAACCGTCAAGCCGGCTCGTGGAGCAAGCGGGGGGAGGCCTGGCCCCGGCCTGCGTGGGGGGTGGCGGTGGCGCACTCTGGCCTAGCGCGCGGGAAACCACCCGAGCCCTGGCCGCGCTTGCCTGCAGCCCTGGGGGGAGAGGTGGCCGGTAGCTTGACTGGAAGCGGCGCGCGTGTGAGGGGGGCCCTTCGGGTGGGCCGGGCGCGCTGGCTGGGCTGAGTCACCCTGTGGGCGGCGGTGAGAGGACGCCATCGCTGGTCTGGAGCCCGACGGCGGAGCGGGTTGGGGACGGAGCGCCGCCCCCCCCCCCCTCCCGTTCGAGACCCGGGTGAACCGCCCTGCGGGGGGCTGCCTGGGGCACCTCATCCCGGTGCGTGGGGATGGAGGAGGCTGGTGGCTGGGCCGCAGCCTTTCCTGCGCGGCATGAACACACTTGTCCGGCTGGGCGTAGGGTCAGCCGGCTGCGTCGGGCCTATTGCTCCTGGGGGCAGTAGCGGGTCTGGGCTGTGTGATCCGGGTGGGAAGGGAGTTTGGGGCTGAACTCGTGCTCTGTGTTCAAGCTGCCGTCTGCTCTACCGCTCTTCTCTCATTTGTTGCGACCTAGCGCGAGTCGGGAAGGTGGTAATGGCCAGGAGGGCGGGCCGTGGCGTGATTGCACCATGTGCTCGGCTCAGGAGGGTTGGGGTGTTCCATCGATTTACATCTGACTGGAGATATAGGAGGTGTCCCACTCTGTCTGTGAGCCCTGCAACTTAATAGAGTAACTCCTGCGATAAAGGTTGCACTTCTGATTTACAATCACTTTATTTGAATGTCTGTTAAACTTAGGTTTTAAGTCATCCTAGTCTATTCTCACTTACTCCAATCTTGCTTATCTAGTATCTGGAAGTGAGAGGTGCAGAATAATGTCTTAAGGAGTTGTGGTTATTTAGGTACTTGGGTGGGTCCTATCACCTTAGAATTTGAGTGCCTCTAAAGCCAGGAAATATTATCCTTTTACAGATAAAGTGTAGAGATTAAGTGTGTGACTAAGGTCACAGAGGAAGTCTGGGAGCCAAAAACCGAACACATGGTTTTTAAAACCTTGAATTGGACTTGAACTACAAGACCATCCTTTCTTGGAAGAATTCCATCTTGGTTTAGGCAAGATGAAACCAGTAACTGTTAACTGTATACCCCTAAACATTTAGAATGTTACAATAAATTCATTTGGGTGTGTGGGCTTATATTCATGATGTAACATTACAATTAAGTTTCTATACCCGTATGAATATTTAGAGACCTAAGTGGTGGGGTCAGTTGGGTGGGAGAAGGTAAGAAAAGATACTTGAAATGGTAGTGATAGGCATAAGAGGTGTGGGAATATGTACTATGTGGAGTGGAGGCACAAGTAGAAATATCTTTGCTTGGGATTGTTCTAGTTAGTCTGCTCTATAACTTGAGCTAAAAAAAAATCTCAAATTATTTTTAGGGTGTATTAATGTAAGTAGTAACTCTTTCTACGTAGACTCTTGAACTGGGGTTGTGTTTTGTGAGGAGGTGGGAGCTAGAGTGAAATTTACAACTTACTTACACTGGCAGTCTCAACTCCTGTTTGAGTTAGCTATAGAGGCTCTTGGATTAGGAAGCCTAGGTTTCCCATGTGAATAAGGTTTCATCCAAGCAAGTGGCTTGCAGTCTCTTTCTGCAGCGTACCCTCTCATTGACTTTGCCTCAATCTCCTAGTTTCCCATTTTTTTCAGTGCTCAAAATGTTTCATATGTTGGGTTAACAGAAAGCCTTAGTAAATTCCTGGTGATCTGTGGACCGCAGTTTGAGAACCCCATTGTTAAGGCTATGCTTGCAATAGCCAATAACTCACTGGCTCCAATATTGTCTTCCAGTATCATACTTACAGGTCATGTGATATACAGATTAATTGGGGACCCATTAGGGTTACAGTGACAGTATGTCAGCCTGACTGGTATTAAAGAATTCTTTTGGAGGAAGTAAATAGTTCTTTGTGGAAGGCACCTTTGCTCAAATACATGGTGTATAATAGGCCATACTCTAGAACAGGAGTAGACAAATTATTTTTTGTCACGGTCTAGACTCCACAGAAAATAATAATAATTAAAAAAAAAACCCAATAATGATAGTAATAAGTACACAAAAAGATGTCAGGGTCTGTTTAAAAGCATCTGGTGGTCCAGATTTGGCCTGTGGTTTGTGTATTGACTACCCTGTTAATGCTGACCTATTTTGCCAGGAATCATATTGTCCCTACCCTCCTTTCTGGAAGCTCATGGGAGGAAAAGTAACTGCAGAGTAGGTTGGCTGGTATCTGATCACCTTTGTCCCTTGATTGGGTTGTGGCGTATGGATCTAACAATATAATGTCAAGTATTGTTCCTGATTCTCAAGTTTGTCACTACTTTTGTTAGTGTGAACTTGTGTCTGGACCCTGCTTGCGTAGATTACTGTTTGGTGAGTCACTTCTGATACTGGTTTCAGAGAGGTAGCTGTGTTAGTCTGTATCAGCAAAAGCATCTGATGAAGTGGGTTTTAGCCCACAAAAGCTTATGCCCAAATAAATTTGTTAGTCTCTAAGGTGCCACAAGGACTTCTGATACTGAAGATGGCTTTGGGAACGGTACTTTTGCCTGCTGGTTTGCCCTTGGAATTCCACAGCATTTTAAATCTCTACTGTGTGTACTGCTTTTGTTTGGGAATAATAGACTTGGACTTTGATCAGTATTTTGGTCTACATCTTTCATTGTACCTGGGTGTTGCTGTCTCCTGGCTGCTGCAGTGAGTGCCTGGTTAAAGCTTCAGCTTCTAGTATAAGATGCTGGTAATACTAATAAGTTGAGGGGAAATATTTAGTAAGTATGGTGAAGATAATTGGCCCCATTGTTGGCAAGAGGAGGGTTGTACTTGCCAACAGAGTTAACTGTGGGCACTTCTGGATTCCAAGGTAGTGCTAACATCTCTCTGTGGACCTCTCAACAGTTCTCTGTTAGGTGCCACCAGACTCATTGTTTTTGTTCATTCTGTACTATCTACGTAGTGTAAGTGAAGTTAGCTCCATGGGTCATTAAGGCTTGTATTGCAGTACACATAGGAGGGGGGAAAGGGCAGGGCATTGTGTTGGCTCTTGCCCTTGGATTAAGGCTGATTGACGTTAGCTTTTTTGTGTGTGTGTAATCTAGGAAACTGTTTGGGTGCTTGCTAGAATAAAGCAAACTGGCAGGGATGAAAGCCCCTATGAGTTGAAGCTGGGGGAAGCAGGACAGCATGGGGTAAGGTGTGTTTTTTGTTTTTTGTTTTTTTTTTCCCTTCCCCCTGTGCATGGAGTCTGGGTTTTTCCCTCCCCTGGACAGACCTGTGTCTTAACTCCTTGAAACTGCTGCTCTGCTCACAAGTAATTCAGCAAGGTGGCTTGTCTTCACTTACTTGATCTTTGCTCTTGTTTGTTTGGGGTTTTTTTTGCCTTTATGCATTTGCTGTTGTAAATATCCAGTGAAGGCAATGGTGCAGGTCAAATTCCGTAATCAAGGATTAGATTTATAACTCAGAATGAACTGAAAGTACTAAAAACATTAGTTGCTTTTTCAGTTGTTCAAGAAAATACCTTCTAGCTCCATTTTACTCAGACATAAAAACTTAGAATGTATTTTTCAAGCTATTGTATCTACTCTTCCTCTTCTCCCCCAGTCCTTAAGCTTTCCATTATGAGCTATTTGCATTTCTTTTTTGGTCTAACTCTCTGCTTATGGCAGAAGCATTAGTTTATTTAAAAGGTGAGTGCAGGTGCAGTCGGTTTTATGACCAAAACAGTGGTTTAGGAAACTTGACTTCTAACAAACAATAGATATGCTGGACTAACGGTTTGTAAGGAAAAACAATGGAGTGTTATAGCTCTTCAGACCCATTAAATTACAACATTTTTTAGTCTCATTACTCTTGCTTGCTTTCCAGTGGGTTCTCAGTAGCTTCTTTCTGTAACTTAATTTGACTTCTGGGTATTCTAAAGGAAAAACTTTTTGGCCATAGTGCTACAAGGAAGACCACTTTAAAACTTTAGTTTGGAAAGTCTCTTTACAGAAGAGTGGAACTATGACAAACAGTAACACAACACTGAAAGTACTTGTTGCTAATCTCTGACTGCAACTCCTTGTTGCTCCTGGTTAGTTTTTTATATAATAAAAAAACCATCTAACCTTTGATATAAACAGAGTTCTAGAGTTTCTGATCTACAAGATGCAAGGTACTGCAGTACTATATTGTGATATGAAAGCTTAAATATACCCACATTCAAAGATCTGGAAATGAAGGTTTTCAGCTCTTTACAGTTGATAAATCTAGTGTAAAAATCACACTGACACTTGGGCCTAGTCTACACGGGGGGGGGGGGTCGATCTAAGATATGCAACTTCAGCTACGACAATAGCTTAGATCAACTTAAAATTACTTCACACCCTTGCGGTGCAGGATCAACAGGGGGTGGAGGGTGAGAAAACTGGATTTGTGTGGAAATGGCCCACCTGTTGATCACTTTAGATAAGCTATTACCAGAGGACAGTGGGGTGGGAGGAGGTATTGTTTCATGATTTCTGTGTGTATATAAAGTCTGCTGCAGTTTCCACGGTAAACATCTGATGAAGTGAGCTGTAGCTCGAAGCTCATGCTCAAATAAATTGGTTAGTCTCTAAGGTGCCACAAGTACTCCTTTTCTTTTGCGAATACAGACTAACACGGTGTTCCTCTGAAACCTGCTCCCCTGTTGACTCCGCTTCTGCCTCT